GTGTGTGTGTGTGTGTGTGTGTGTGTGTGTGTGTGTGTGTGTGTGTGGAGCGCATATAAAACTAATGGAATGATAGTTTGCATCAAGTCGTTGCGTTTCATGACACTGCAGTGTGGTTCTTCAAAAATTTCCATCATTTTATGTGATTCGGTTTTGATGTCAAAAAATATACGCTTTGCAGATGACAGCATGTTTCGATAAATTTCGTATGGATCTGCCTTATATAAGTTATTCAAGCAGATCGGCATTTGTGTTGAACTCTCTATCAACCACATGAACCATGGCAAACCAAAACCAACAGATCCACGTTTCAGTTGCTACCTAACGATAATTATTATGTTAATGACAATTATGATGAAGGAAAGATGACAACGAGATGATTTTTCGAGTGAGAGATAACACAAAAATAAGTCGCATTCATTGCGAAACATTGTGCATTCCAGTATATATCACATAACGGTTAGTTCAATTTGGCAAACATGCACTTTTTTTCATAGTTTATTCAAGAATAAGGTGGAAAGAGGACGAAAACGGAAACTTTTTAATGATTACTATGCAGAATATAGTCTCATCGACTAAATTTTCGGTTTCTTCATAACATATCCATTAAAATTAATTGCAATCTAATGAATTTGTGAGTTTCATAGAGAGAAAAACAGATTTCTTACGTAATGTCGAACAAAAAAAAAATGATGGAAAATTTTACGAGTTTTCAATTGGCCACTGCATTTTGAAACTTGATCGCAATTTGCAATTCAATGTGGAATTTCGGTAAAAAAAAACCGACGTATACTAACGTTTTCACTGCGTTACATGGTGATCCAATGTAAGTAGGGCCGGTCGTCAGTTTGCTAACAATCCCAAATATTTCTAATAACAGCAATCATGTCAGACTTTGAATTCCACTTTCACAGGAATTTGCTGTTGAATACATAAAAAAATACAACCCGTTCTTTGTGGATGAAGAATGGACAGAGAAGAAGAACTCTATCCCTATGTTGTTTAAGTTTGAATCTCATTCGTTTTTGCCATGAGTTTCGACATTACCCAAAATGAGAGCGAAAGAGCGAGAGAGTAGGAGAATGAAAATAAAAAAATAGCGTAGACGGATTAAAAGCCCCTTCATCACATATATAGCCCAAAATATCCACATCGGCATTGAATGCGTAACGTCGTGTGTAAAGTGTTGCTTTCAGTCTCTATTTCTCTCGATTTTTACCTATTGTCCTTCATTATTCAAGAGCACTTCAATAATGTTTGCAGAGAAATGCGGTTGGTGTTGCTGACATTACCCAGTTTTTACCATGTGTACTTGCTTATCCAGTGCAATTTTCGCTTCTAATTAAATTCGCGTGTTCCTTTTACATGCTCTTTTTACGGTATTATCAATTATGTAACATTTTTCAAGCACTCTTTTCTATGCAAAAAGAAATGAATGACGACTCAATTAATATTTTAATTCAACGCAACGTTACGCAAAATTTTTTTTAACAGGAACGGAGAATGAGTGGGCCAAGCTAATTGAAATAAATTCCAGGCAAATTAAAATATACTCGACATTTTTGAGAGAGAAAAAGAATGAGAATGGGTTAAGTTGTTATGGATTGTATGACATACAACAGAGCGAGAGTAAAATGCATCTAAAATAGGCAAATTGTTATCTCCTGACAATGTCTTTAGTTATCGCGTGCTTTTGTTTCTTTTATGAATGTCACTGAACACATGGTTTTGTATGCCGCATTTTTTTAATATAATATATATTCGATTTGATAATAAAAGATATTGTAAAACGTGCGGTTTTTATACTGATACTACAGTCGTAATGTTTTTGATATTTTTATAAAGTTTAGATTTCAGAAACTACAAAGACTATTTCTAAGCTCGTCATTCGTTACTCCGTTTGTATCTGATTGATATTTGTGTTGCGAATAACTAGCTTATAGATAAACGTTTTAGAGTAGGTTTAGAGTAAATTTCCGTGTTTTTTTTTTTCAAGACAAAATTCGTCGCGTTTCAAAATATCAAAATCACTCAATTAAAATTGTGATAAATTATCAATTTGAAATGTGATTTATAATTATGATTTTTGTCTTGACAATCGAATTGTTATCGCAAGAATTTTCTGCGTTTATCAATTTAATACTTTTGTGTATTACTTTTATTGTCGTAGTAGCAGCAATTAAATCAAATGTGATCAAGAAATCGCCCGAATAATTCATAGCAACCTCAAATCAATACATTTACATCGATTTTTTCAAAATGGATAGATGAGACCACTTGTTTCATCAAATCCACAACAACCTTGATTAAATGAATAGAGGTAGATTTTATGTGGTTTTCTCATTAACACATGGCACAATATATTCACTCGGCTCTTTCTCTGTCTCTATCTTTCTTTCTTTCTGTGCCCATTGAGGCAATGTTCTCACGCACCAAATAGAAAGTTTACGCATCACATCGATGCGAATCGCGCGCTTTACCGTTTTACATATCATGACGTGATGTTATTGATGCAAAAATATTCAATTTGAATAAAAATTTGTTTACGCATCATTTTTAAAATAGAACACAGGAACAGTAACATTCATTTATTGAATTTCATTAGAAAATTCCTTTAGTAAATTAAATATAATTGAGACATCTTCTCTCAATAACAATAGTCAATTGCCATACAATTGTTTTACTAATTTATGTGTGACTTAAATGCGTGTTATTTGACAAAATAAATACGTAAACTAAAATATTCAAAAACTGATCATATGCAAAAAAAAAGAAAATGAAATCAATTGTGCATCCATCAAAATGTGTTAAATTTGAAGTGATGCTCGATTGATTGATATCTATTTTCGGTATCGACCAAATCAAAATAAATGTCAATGCAACCGTTACTTGAAACGTCCAATGTCAGTGGAACAAAAAAACCGGATCCACTTGGCCTACATTTAAATGTATGTTTTTAAAATAACAAATTAATACATACTGTCATTGTAGTTTTGTTGTTTCCCAGTTTTTTTTTATCAGTTGACATATATGTATATTGTTTATAGTGTTTGGAATGTTTTAAAATTCCAGCCGGTATTTTTTATGCACAAAAAAAAAATTCCACACTTCACTGTCATGCAAAATCTGTCGTACGTACACAAAATTCTTTGTCATTTGATTAACTTAATTATTGATTTTACACCAGTAATAGAGCATTTGAAGAGAATATAAAGTAGACACCGCTTAATAAATTCTCTTTCTTTTATTTCTGTCCTTCTTTCTTCGTTTTCGTTTGATGTGTATTATCAGAAGAACGACAAGTCACTGTGGAAGCTCGATCACGTCTGATACATGAATTTATACAAAATATAATTTATATATACAGGTGTCTGGGTACGAATACGATATAAACAATAACCTGAACAAAATTTACAATAATTCAAATTCATTTGTCAGTTAAACCGTACTCAACGATTCATTGGTTCAGGCGAATGGTTGGCGATGATGAGGATGTTGACGTCAACTCAAATAGATTTTAGGATTATAAATGTAACAGGAGTAATAGTGTGTGGTATCTAACAGGAAATGCTTTAATTTTTCGCCCAAAATCCAAATGAATCGAAAATAAAACACCTGAGCAAATCGTTGAATGAATGAAACAAAAAGAAGAATGTCGCTATAATGAGTGACGGCACGCGAACTTAATACATCACTTGACTTCAAATGAATGGTTCTGGTTATGTCTTGTGGCGTTGTGTGTGGACTTAAAAAAAATGATATTGTTGTTATGTCGCTCCATGTGTTTGTGTGAAAATCAATGAAATGTACTCAGAAATACACTAAAACGTTGAAAGATATATATTAGCTATGATTATCAGTTGTGAAACTTCAAAAAGATTCATTAACTTTCGATTCAATTTTATCTCTATATAGTTTTTTTTTCTCTCGTTTTTTTTTTGTACCTCTATTCGTTGTTAATGGTTCGTTTTTTGCACTAGCTTGTATATCTGTCTAATCGAACGAATGACGCTCTTTTGGTTTTTGGTTTCTATTGCCTTTTGTGTGCTCCGCCGCTTGCCCATTTCCATGGTTTATGCCGGTATTATTCAGACAGTCGTTTGTGTGTATGAGCAAACGTGTTATAATTGAATGACTTATATCAAACCATCGACCCATTCTGTCTCTCTAAAATTCATTGGAGTGCAATAAACAAAGGTGTTATATACATATATGAATATGAATGAAATTTACAATCGTTTTCACATTGCGATTTTCATTATCATGATATGATTTTATCGAATGGTAAGTCTCACACACCTCGGCCGGATATTTTTTGCAGCGATTTACTTTGGCTACCTTAACATTATGATGATATATAAATGGTGATTGAAATTTAAATGTTGATTGTTTAATTGAAAACTTCAAGGGCAAATTAAATCGATTTATGATTCCAAACGAAAGCATAGTATGCAATACCAATTACAAAATATCCGCAATCAATCGTCCGGCTGGCATGTGTGAGCCATACGTGTTCTGTGTATTATTATGGATTTGTGTGTTTGTATTTACATCTATTAAATATTTGGATTCAAATATATAGTGTACACACTATACATCCATATTGATAGCGATAACGTTGATTTCGGTTTTTATTCAACGTAATATCATATCCGATGTATTTGTTATTGGTTTGATGAATTGTTTGTAAATTGTCTCTTTTTAACTAACTGCTTTAAACACTGCTGGCCTAACACATTGTTGTTATTAGGCAAAAAAACATTTTTTTTTATCAATCACAATTAAACCATTGACGTGTGATGGATTGTGAAATAGATTGTGGGGAAATTGGTTTCGGCTATGTAAATACAACAATAATAACAAAATCATTGCCATAATGAATTATGAATGCACTAAACAGGTTTGTGAACCGTTGATAATATTGTTCTTTCTTTGTTATGAACATTAATTACCTTTTTGTCGTAACCGATTCGTTGATATGTATTGAGAAAAAAAAATTGCAATCGCTACATTATCTGTATGCAATGTTTGTTACTTTGTAAGATAATTCATATTGCGAAATTGTTATCTATTGTAATTAAAATGAACATTTTATGAGTAGATATATTAAGGGGGAAACCCAAAAAACCAATATATTTATTTACTTTTAATTGTTTTTTTATAAAGACATAAAGTATTTCACCGAGAATTTTTTTTTAAATTTACATATTCACATAAACTGTCCATCAAAAGGTTGGATGAGTAATCAAATTATCATATTCTAGACGGAGACACGGGCTCCAATATTGCACCTTTTTTAAATTCTTTTGGCCTAAAGTCGGCCAAAATCATTTAAAAAAATGTAGGACACAATCGACTGATCACTGATTTATCTGAATTAACTGATCAACAGAAACTAGAAAGATAAGAATTCTTATTTGAAGACCCTATGCTCCACTAGGCGTTAAAGGAAATAATAAAAAGGGGGGGTTCAGATTAGTGTAATCACGCGCCACTGTGATTTGAATGTGCCAGAATAAAAACTCAACTTCGCATATCACCTCTTGCTCTCTCCTGAAGGATTTTCCATAAGTGTGAGCAGGAGGTGAGATATGAAGTTGAGTTTTTATTCTGACACATTCATTTTAGTTTGGATTGAGAAAGAATCGACCCCTTTTTGCGAAACTTACAAGATATACTCCCAATAAATATAAGTGATCAAACACGAATATCTGCATGATGCCATTTTGTGATGTGTTTCATTTTCCTCGAATGCTGCCAACAGATTTAAAGAACAACAAATGAAAGAACGGACGAAAATAAATATCAAATAATTGCTAAACACTCACTTCTTATCAATTACAAATCGACAACCAGTGTTGAGAGAACATTCGCGGAATACGAATAATACAAATCGGTATTTTGGGATTCGTGACTACATCAACGTAATAAAAGTTTCCTTAGAAAAAAAACCATTATCGTTTTTCCGGTGTATTAGCGAAATGATTTTGAAAATAAAATTTGGCCAACCGTTGTCAACACTAAAAAAAGATAAGAAGTTAATGTTTCTTCTGATCAAAAACCAGATACAGTAGTAAGAGATCTACGCCAAACTCTTTACGATGAGGTAGTCCCGAATACACACAAATACGAGTTTTGATCGCAGCACATGTGGCATATGTAAGATTTGGTCCAAAAAAGCACAAAAAATTACATTCTCAAATTTTGATGAAATTTCAAAGAAAATCTTTCATACAAAATTTTAATTTTTGAGCCAAAAATAAAAATTTTTATATGGAGAGTACCCCCAATACAATGGAAATTTTATTTATTGCATTCAAATGCAACTTAATTAGAATTGTAATTCATAACTTATAAAAGCACTAATTCAAAGAGAGCTTTTACTTTTCAACATGCATATGTTCAGAAATGTCTAGACCATTTTGTAAAATAATTATTATTCGTTGTAACCGATATAAAATTGCGTTCCAAATATATCAAATCGGTTTTGTGGTAATCGCGTTAAAAGATAACGATTTTAAGTCTTGTTAGGGTAACCAAAAAAAGTATCCAAAGTTTTGGTGGCAAAGATCCACGTCGACTGACTCCGTTGATTGTAAACTTTGTTGAGTTGCTGGCAGATTCGAAATTATTCTCATTTCTTGTGTGACACTTCTTTTTCTCTCTTTCTTTCCCGCTTCATTCACAATCTAGTAAATGGTTTATTGTATATACAAACTTAAACTTACACACAAAAGACAGCGAAACGAATGTCGTTTTTAAAACAATATTAAACAGTTAAATGAAGATATAGTTCATGAATACATGAATGGTGTGGTCTTACATTGGCGCAACGACAGCATAGGAGCAATGGCTACTTCGTGTGATGCATTCGGGTGAATTGTATGACCTTAATTTATTTGTGTTGAAAGCAAGTCCATTCACAGACGTGCACCCAGATAAAAATCAGTTGTCGTCTTGAAAGCCGACATTCGATTGAGACATTTTCAGCCAGCTAAATCAGCTCAGGCGGCCAACGTCAGGCGCTGAAATGGAGTGAAAATAATTGATTGTAAAAATGAAAATGTTTTTATAACCATAACAATCACTTCTATTGTTATCGCGCCTGAAGTTAGCTTCCTGAGCTGCCTGAAAATATCTCAAAATAATGTCGGCTTGAAACCACAAAAAAGTTGAATAGTTTTTTTCCTAGTTAGTTTGATATAGTTAAAATGAGCGGCCCATCACAGCCCAAAGCCCAAAGTGTTCTTCCATTTTGGTATAAATTATGGGCAATGGAGAGTTTAGCGATCTGATAAAATAATATACAAAAGTACTGCAACTTTAAGTTGCAACACTAAATACTGAATACCAAGTTATGCAGGCGCAGACTGTGCGCCACACCAACACAATCAGCCACAAAACATTTCATATTCCTTGGGCACTTTCTGTGAATCTTTTCTTAACATAAAACAACAAAATTGCCGCTATCTTTGTCACTGTCGCCGTCATCTTTATCGCTGTTATTGTTGTTGCCGTTGATGATGGGAAAAATTGAGCATGCCTGCAAATAGAGAAGATAAAGAGAGAAAACTTTTTAAAACCACTATTTAACCATTCAGTTGCGCATTAAATAGATTCAGAAATGTAAAGATCTATCTACCCTTGGCATTCACTTAAGCCATACCACAATGAAGACATATCACATTTCTAGTTGCCATTTAATGAAAAGATAAGAAAATTTGTTAAATTTCCATTGACCTGCTAATATATGTTAATTGTCAAAATCTTCAACTCCATTTAAATTAAATGAGTAATGACAGCAAACGATGACGATATTTATAGGGTGATTTCGTGCCTCATTCTTCGAATTTTTTCCATCTTTTTTTTACTTTCTGGCTTGCTTTATGTTTTCATTTATGTCACAGCCCATTGCAAAGCACTGATTGCCTTTTGTGAAAATGAACATTCACAGGGAATGCATGCAAATATGCGGCCTTTATTTGCTTCAGATGTGATAGTTTGTGCGCTTAAACTTTTCCGAGACCATATGTACGAAAGCAGAGAAAGTGTAAGTAAGCCAAATAAGAAAAATGAAAAAAAGCAATAAGATTGAACGAGAAAATGAGAAATGTCCATTCCCTTTTTTATTCATTAAATTCAAACTCCGGTTCAAGGCAGTCGCCGACGATGGGGGTAACAGCAAACAGCGCACAACAGGCGTCTGCTCAAATCATTAAATTTTGAAAATTTATATAAATAATTTATTGTTGAATACAAAATGTTTGTACGCTGCAAATGTGGCTTGATATTTATTGTTTTTGGTAACTAGTATATTTACTGTTGGCACAAAATTAGATGCTTTGTCACAAGTTTCGGTTCGATCGGACGACCGATTATTTCGGTTGATTTCCCATTGGCTGGGTAGCAGCCGTGTGTACGAGGGAATGAAAAATGTTCACGCACCAAGTGAAATATTTTATCGAAATTGTTGCCGTTATGTTGACCGATCACCCAAGATGGCCGAAGTCAACGCGTAACACTGAAACACACAAGGTCGATATGAAGATTGGAACGATGTAAAAGTCAGTTCGAAAACAAAATATTTTAACGCCAAAAGCATTGTACAAGAGAGAAAACAAAACTCAGGAAAACCACCAAGCAACAGAAGACATCGCACAAAATTGAACAAACTATGACAATATAATGCGTTTATGGGAACGGTTTATGAATAATGTCTTCTATACAAGTTCACATTTCCGTCGTTGTCATCGCTATGATCCGGTTCAACAGTGTACATTAACAGTATT